GGGAAAGAAGACATCCGGGGACAGGCGGAGCCAGCCTGTTTCAGTGGGAAACGCTGTACCTCGGAACAGCAGCATCCTGCCTTCAAGTTCCTTGGCACAGGGGGGAATCTTCCCCATCTGCCGCACTCACAGCCAGGAGGATGGCAGCTTCCCGAGGAAGCCGCAGAGCTTCCCAAGGAGAGCAGCATGGAGGGTTGCCTTGGAGACTGCAGCGAGCTGCCAGATGACTGGGTCTCACACCGCAGCAGGCACTTGCCAGAAGGGCGATCTCAGCGGCGCACGCTGTTATCAGACATTCCCGGCGGGAACACCGGGGCCGCTCATGGAGCGGGGCTTGACATCACCCACCATTAGTCGTGTCCAGCTTCCCAAGTGCTCCTCAACACCCCCCACCCAGTGTTCCATCCCATTCCATTCCACTACCACAGACCTCTCAACCAGTTTTCCACCCTGCCCTAAGTATTCCTGGAATTACCTTAGTGGTCACCACTGGATTTGCTTCTAGTTTAGTCCCTTGCATGGCCGTGCTTTATTTCCCCCTTCTTGTTCAGGCTCCCATTTGTCAGTGTATCCAAGGCCTGATCCCAGTCATCTTTCATGGAAAATGGCTTTATCCCATCCTGACCCATCTATTTGACTCCAGCACCACAGTCAAGCTACTGGCTACACGGCGCTGGCAGCACGGATGGGATAAGCCAAGAAAGAAATCCAGTGGGAAAATCCTCAGCCTAAGAGAAACCACTTCTTGCCCAAGTGCTGGGCACAAGCAAAGCCTCAGATACAAGCAGCAAGTGCCACGTGTTCAGTTTGCCATGGAGTTCCACACTTCAGGAGTGAGCTTCCCAGTTTCCACCAGCTGCAGGTCAAGCCTTTCACAAACCTATAGGTCCTGTAAAGGACTAAAGCTCTCTGTGCTCCTTCCACCTATACTGTCACTGCCTGACAGCCTCCAAGCCCATCATCACCATCATATTCTCCTTTCAGAAGCCTTTTGATTCAGGGAGCACATAGAAGTGACCCAGAAGGAGTTAACCAGTGCTCAAGTTCTGTGCAGAGCATTAACCCACTGCAGCTTTGTGCTGCCTCCTCTTCCAGTGCGAGGCTGGAATCGAGGAAGGGAACAGAGCAAGTGGAGGATTAGGAAAACCTCCCTCATGGTGAGGAGCCTGCCAGGCTCCCAAGGGGAAATGATGAGAACCCTGCTGCTTGAGTCACTTCAAACTGGACCCAGGACAGGAAAATCTAGTGCAGGGAACAAGCCTTCCCCCATAGTG